TAGGTTTTTGTAAAGACTGGTCATTTTATATAAGTGATTTGGACATCCACAGATCCTGGTGTCCGTGGGGGTCCTGGAACCAATTCTCCACGAATACCAAGGATATCATAGAGTGAGAGCCCAGGCAAATTCCAGCCAGGGCAAGGGACACAGCAAGTCAGGACCTTAAGTGAGCCTCCTCTGAGGCCCTCAAAGTTAACTCCTTTGCTGATTGTAAGACCATGTGAGATGACTTCCTGATTTTTCTCCACAGCTTTGCCATCTGTGTGTGTATCCCTTAAGAGTAACGTTTCTTTTAACTTTGTGTAAAATAGAATAGAGGGTTTCTTCTTCTACTTCTTATTTTTTGTGAGACACAGTCTCACTCTGTTACCCTTGGATGGAGTACCCTAGTGGTGGTGCCATAGCTCAGACCACTCTCACACTACTTGGCTCAAGAGATTCTCTTGCCTCAGCCTCCGAAGTAGCTGGGACCACAGGTGCCTACCGCAACACCCGGCTAGTTTCTATTTTTAGCAAAGACCAGGGTCTAGCTCTTGCTCAGGCTGGTCTCCAACTCCTGAGCTCAAGCAGAGTGCTGGGAGTACTGGCGTGAGCCACGGAGCCCAGCCTGTTAGTTTGTTTTTACATTTGGATGGCTCCCAGTTTGGGGCCACCAAACCCTTTCATCTTCTGTCTCTGACTCTGTTTCCCCTTCAGGCAGCGCCACGCGAGGGACCAAGAGGCTTACGGCTCCGGATCTAGAGCAGCCGGATGGGCGCGGCTGCTTCGGAGGTCCAAGGAGAAGATGAGTGAAGGCTTGCGGTCCCTGCAGCCCTGGGGCTGGACGCTGAAGAGGATAGGGGGTGCGGTAGGGTTGGGGCCTGTGTCCTGGGGGCAGGGTGGACCCTATGCCTAAGGGAGGAGGGGCTGGAGACTGGGACCCCTGAGTCCGAGAGAGGGGGGGCTGGGGGCCGCTGGGTTTCGGGGAGGAGGGTCTGGGGCCTGGTACCCTGAGTGTGAGGAAGGAGGGGTTGGAGACCAGGACCCCTGGGTCCGAAGAAGGAGGGAATGGGGTGGTCCCCTGGATCTAGGGAGGAGCGGCTGGGGTCTGAAGTCCGCGGCCGGCGTGGGCGGGGCTGGGCCCGCACCCAGGAAGGAACCGAGGCCTCTCTGCTGCCCCCTACAGGCCAGTTCGGCGCCGGCACCGAGTCCTACTTCTCCCTGCTGCGCTTCCTGCTCCTTCTCAACGTGCTGGCGTCTTTGCTTACCGCGTGCATGATTCTGCTGCCCACCTGGTTGGAAGGCGCTCCCCCAGGCCCTCCTGGACCTGGAACCTCGCCCTGCAACTCCTATAACCCCTACCCCCAGGGCCTGGTCACATTCCCCACCCAGCTGTTCAACTTGCTCTCAGGAGAAGTAGGTGCCTGGTTCTCCAGGAAATTCCCCACCCACGTTTGCTGTCCTCATTGACCTGCCCTTGAACCCGCTTCCTCCCAGCCCCACGGTGACCCTTACTCCACCTTTGCCTCCCCAGGGTTACTTGGAATGGTCTCCTCTCTTCTATGGCTTCTACCCGCCCCGCCCACGCCTGGCAATCACCTACCTGTGCTCAGTCTTTGTCATTGGTCTTATCTACCTCCTGCTCATTTTGCATCGGTTAGTGTCAGTGAAACCTCAGGCCCCCTGACCCACTGGGTAGGGTGGGAATGGAGCAAGTAGTAGAAGCGCTCTCTCCCAAAGAATTTTTTTTTTTTTGGCAGTTTTTGGCCGGGGCGGGGTTTGAACACACCACCTCCAGCATATGGGGTCGTGCCCCACTCCTTTGAGCCCCAGGGACTGCCCTCTGCCAAAGAATCTTGAGTGGCCCTTTCCTCCATTTGAGTTAAAATCAATTTTTAAAATATTTCTTATGTGCTGAAGGCAGGGATGCAAGAACTTTTTCTCACTCTTGTAGTTTAGAGTCTATTGGAGAATGTAAGATATTAAGCAAGCAGGCACGGACACTAATTGCTTGCATTTTGAGATAGACTCTCACTTTGTCACTCTCTGTAGAGTACTGTAACGTCATAGCTCACAGCAACCTCTAACTCTTGGGCTCAAGCAATTCTCTTGCCTCAGCCTTCCAAGTAGCTGGTACTATAGGTACGCACCACAACATCTGGCTATTTTTAGAGACGGGGTCTCGCTCTGGCTCAGGCTGGTCTCAAACCTGTGAGCTCAAGCAATCCACCTGCCTTGGCCTTCCAGAGTGCTAGGATTACAGTTATGAACCAACGCGCTTGTCCCTATTGCTTATTTTCTGATGCAGTGAAGTGCTATGTAGGAAACACATCAGATAGGGGGCACTGATTCTTCCATTCATGTGACGTATTTATTGAGTTCTTACTGTGCTCCAGGCACTGAC